ATTCCCCCCTTCCCCAAAAGACACCCAGTCCTCAAGGTGGTAAAAATGAGAGTATTCGTCCTTCCCCGTAGCTGTCTCTACCTTTTCATCCTTTGTTCCCTCGTCCTTGCAACAGTGTCTTGGAGTAAACTTCTCATCATACTGAAAACATAATCTCTTGGCTCTCTTCTCCGGAATTTTTTTATCTGTAAGGAACTTGAGTGTTGCTCCTGGTTATGGTCCATTATTCGTGTCCCACGCATCCCCCCTCTAGGATTTCACTATTTGAGCTTTTGTTATCGTTGTGGTTGCAGTTGTTCGGTATGATGTTCCATCTGCGTTACTTCTGCTAGCCTTCTTCATCTGATTTATATCCTTTACCATCTAAGCTAGCTCCATCATTTGCCAGTATGTTGGGCTTTAGGCTCTTTATGAAATTTCCCTCCAATCTTGCTTCATAAATCACCCTCAGTCGTCCCGACAATAGCTCAAATCTTTTCTTGTATTTAATGGCAGTCTCCTCCTGAGTCAAAACATAGAATTGCTTGAGTAGGTCTCCTTCCTGAATTGCTCAGAAATATTCCAATAAACAATCCTTAAAGTCCTCCCACGAATGGATCAGGTATCTAGCTTCCCTCTACTGAAACCAGACTAGAGCTTTCCCTTCTAAACTTAACCCTGTTGCCATGAGTTTCTCCTCCACATCTAACCCATTTACCCGAAGTATTGCTCCGCCTAATACACATATTTATGTGTGTCTTTCCCCTCAAAGATCGACATATTTAAATTCCTAACTCTAACATCTTCACCCCAACTTTCTCTTCCTCCATTGTTTTCCCTCATGTATCGAGCGCAAAATTCCCTCTTTCGATCGTAGCCATATCCCCTCCCTACTTCTCTCCTTTATTCTTCTTGCTCCTCCGTACCTCTTGCTTAATCTTTTCTCCATATTTCGGCCCAACCTAACTACCTCCATTAGAAATCTCTAATCCGCCCCCAATCGGAGCCCTGAAAGAGGGTTCATGAAGGTGGATGTTTTCCTCATTTTCCTTACATTTGATTTCTTTTCCTTTCGATATTGCCACAGATTCTTCATTCAACCTTTGATTAGGGTTTGCAAATTGAGTTGTCGGTGGGGTCTTAGATTGCTTCTCAATGAGCCTCTTTAACATCTTCGAATTTCTCTGATGCTCTCGAATTGATCCTCTAGTCGGTTCTCCATAGAAAAGAACCTATCCTCTATGGTGGTGAATCTTTCTTTCCTTCTAAATATGATTTGACTCATCTCTTCCTATAATTTTTTGTCCAAATCATCTACTTTCTTGGTTGCTATTATGCCCTGTCACTAGGGAATGCTTGATTCTGAATCTAGTGGTTGACTTCTAGGATCACAATTAGGGCACACACGATCCCGTCGTAGTCTTCCCCGCTAGTTTTGATCTGATCTAGTCTTTTTCACGCGATTCAGTGAGACCGTGATGAATGTAAGCCATAATCCCTTTTGTTTCCCAGGTAACTCGAACCGCTATTGTATCACAAGCCTTCTGTCAGGATCAATAAGGTCTCGTCATCACCTTCCCCGCAAGTTATGATTGCAACTGTATCATAGGGTTGGTCATGAAGGCGACAAACAACCTACCCTGATCGCGATTGTATCTCAATAAGCTTTGATTGACTGTATCACAGGGTTCAGTTATGATAGTGCGGACCGACGAGTGTCCTAAACTCGTTGTTTCCTTCTTTTGTAAATCGCGAGCCCTTCGTTGCCTTCCAAGCAAGTAATGATCACGACTGTATCGCTTGGGTTCGGTCTTGTCGTCGCCTTCCCAATAAGCTATGATCGCGATTATATCGCAGGGTTTGGTCAAGAAAGTGTGGGATCGTGTTGTATCACTTAGGGAGGATTCAAACATGAGTTTCACGTCTCGACAAGCTGCAATCTTTTTGAGGATTCACTATATGCCTAGATCACGTCATCGATTGAAAATCTAGCTCTCCATGCTCAATCATTTTTCTTTGATTCCCAGAATAGACTGTTGTGATGCCAATTTGATGTGATCAAACTTCAAAATTGGCACATTTTCTTATAAAAATTAGGGAAAACACAATATTTCTTTCATAATTCAAACAACTCAATAAGAATATAAATATAAACACTTATTAATAGAGACATAGGTGAACTCTCTTAATTCTTACAATTTGAGAGGTAAGAAATATCTCATAAACCCTAAACCTAAGACTCACAACTCAGTCTCATGCATAAACCTAGCCTCAGACACAACAAGTCTATTTATACCCGACAACAACAATAATAAAAGACTAAATTTCCTTAGACATACAAAATACAAATTTGCCTTTAAGCTAGGCGCCAATATAACACGCCCCTTCTTGGTGCAAACTTGAATATTAATGGACTGGCATGCTTTTATGAAATAACAATATGAAGTAAGCTCAAGGATGGCCTAAGGTTGATAGTTTTGTCCATTTATCCATAGTCATGACTATGACAGTTGAATTTTCTGACTTTATATATATATATATATATATATATATATATATGCATACATACGATTTATTTTGATTTTTTTGTCCATTAGATCATCCCTAGATTCATGTGAAATGGAATATTATGCATTAATTGGATTAAAAAATAAGGTGGTTTGGAGTTAAGAAAACTATGAAGGCTTGGAGACATTTTGATGATGAAAGCTTATCTAGATTGATAAGCAGACACTTATAACTTGAAAGAATTAAGGGTTTTAATCTCATTCCATGATCCATTTTTACACAATTTTGTAAATTTTTATGTTAATGGTGTAGTGATTGGTTGGTTGACGCACCAATGTATCTATATGATCTCTTATTTAGTTTATGTCTCTCATGGACTAACAAAGTACTATTTTCTGACCTCTTTGGATAGTATCCTTGAGAATTAATATAATAGATAATTTTTTAAACTCCTTTATCATATAAATTTATTTTTTTCAATGTTTTTGGTGGTTAACATATTTGGGTTACAGAGTAATAGATGCAACTCTATTGAATATCTTCTTTTTTTGTTGATGCGCCTACACCCTATCTTTCTCTTGCTACAGTTCAAGGGTATGTTGACAATGGCAAATTTAGGGTTGCGAATGATCTGATTTCAAGCCGATCCAAGGCTGGCTCAAAATTAGATCGAAATGGTAGTTTATGGATCAAAATCGGCTTATGGATCCGGCTCATAATTGAAATCGAACGATTTTTGAGTTGGCTTGAATGACATTTTTTATTGAATGCATATGCAAGGGACCCTAATCCAAAATAAGATAGTATTAACGAACATGTTAGGAGCACCAACCAGAGCTAGGGCTAGTGAAAGAGAATCAGAGGTACAGAGAGGTGATAGCAAGATAGATCACAGGCAATTTAGATCATAAGCCGCAGGTGACACACAACCAATTGATTACAAAGATGAAATAAGGATATCATGAGTGCCGACACGCCGAGGAAGGGAGAGACGGATGGATGTAGAGAATGAGTGACAGAGAGACGAAGAAAGGATAAGTCTAGGAGGGTTGAAAGATTTTTTCGAATTGGGAATGAGCAAGGGCAGCTGTGGAGCATAAGTTCAGGGTTAACACAATTAAGTGAACCGCACAATGTAATCCCGACCATCTGATCCTGATTGTGCCAAAGTCAGCCGTTCCGCAGCTCCACCTTACTGAAATGTCACTACATTTGACTTGAATCGTGAGCTGTTCGATTTGATCCACAGCGAATCAAAATCAGATCAAATCTGAACTTAAGATTTTGGCTGTGACACATATCTTAGCTCAAATTATTTGATCTTATTTCGATCTGAGCCAAAAATCACTTTAATTATCGAGTGATTAACGATCTTCAAACTGATTTCACAGCCCTAGGAGAAATCATATGACAGCTATACCTTTTGATATCTCATTACAATAAAGTTATTCATACCTAATGACAACAAAGTTATTAAGTTTTGGTCAAGCATGGCTATTTGTGGCGACCATTCATCTCCTTATATTCGGATCAATGATCACGGAGAGAAGAAATACTCTGGTCGGATTAAAAACTAACTAGTCACTTGCTATTTGATTAGAGGGTAGTTTTCGGTATAGATTAGATCAATGGCCATTGATTTTTTATATTCAAATTATCCAAGTTAATGATAAAGGATTTTTTTTATGTTTCAGTTGTGTTACTTAAAAAATTTAAAGATTTATTATTTATTTATTTATTTTGCTTATCTCGTTAGTGTTTAGGAGGACAGTGACAACATGCAATTCCATTATGGTAAGCAAATAGAAGTGTTGAATGTATTGATGACATTTAAACCATGAAGAAGGAAATTTCTACTTAATACATGAATCAATGATCAATAAAAGGAGACAAAATTATAGCCCGATCAAAGATAAACACTCATTAAGCATGGTAGGTGGCGTTGGTAGCAAGTCGTAGGTAGCGTCAGTGGCATTTGGGTGGTAGGCCGCACCGGTGATAGGAGGTGGCAAGAGGGTGTTGATTGTAGGCATGCGATGACGGCCTGCAATACTTTTCATAAAACCGTGTATTTGAAATTCGCTTAAATCAAACGAATTCCAAATACATTTAAAATGAACAGAGGAATGAATTCCAAATGCACTACATTTGGAATTTTTCTAACCAAACATCTGGACTTCCAAAACTCCTGCAAAAGGAATGCATTGCACTCCTTCTGCAGCTAACCAAACAATCTCCAAGTCAATAAATAACGTTAAAAACCATATATGTTTATATAAAGTTAAGATCTATTGGATATAAATCTTAATTTTTTAGCCTAGATCTAATTTGAAGGAATATACTACCTTCCATAATTTTGATAAATTGTGGTCTGACAAGATGTAAACGGGTACCAGAAAAACCAAGTAATAAAGAAAATTGAATCAAGGAATACCATAATAGACAATATCATACCTATTCATGAGTTCCAAAAATTAGTAACAGCTGTAATCTAAACAAGAATAATCACAGACCTCTCCTTCTCAGAAATTTCATCATGCTGTTCAATGGGCTGTGTGCGGGGTTTCAGATTCAATTTTGGACGCTCAACTGGCCGACTCACAGAATCAGCTCCAACTGACTCCGACTTTATCTTACCCACAGTTCTACGCATTTCTTGAGGTTCTTCCGCATGCATCAAACTAGTTGCATGTAGATATCCCTGCAAGAAAAGTTTCTTCATAATCAAATATAAACATTAGATCAGATGCAAAGCAGTTCTAAAATATCCATGGCTCAATCCCCTTCAAAGTTGGATTAAACACATGTAAGCAATCGCAACAAATTAATTGAAAATGGCCAATTTGATGGATTGTGTTGATAACTGATTTTCTTAGGAATCTAGAACAATGCTCAAACTATTATCCACTTATACAAGATAAAACCAAAAGAAACCACTACCTGCTTGTCCTCTAATAACTTTAGATCAGAGGGCTCCAATGGCTTTGTCCTTGGAAGCAACTTCAGCTTTGGCCTCTCCGAAGCATCATCCAGAGTATGCTGATGCTGCGATGCAGCTACTTTAAACTCATGAGACACTGGATGAGACAAATCAGACTGAAATTCAAAAGTATTTGCATCCTTAATTTCAGGATACGGAGAGGATATCACCCTCGCCTGTTGTAGAAAACCATCAGAATGAAGACCTCCTAACTTCCCCTCCTTCACACCAGTATACGAGGAAATCCTTACCAAATTCCCTTCCTCGTCATTCCAGATCGGAAGGAGGACTGTCCACAGTCCATCGATCCAAGTTCTCCACATTCTGGAATCTGATCATCTCCACATCTGTAGGCTTCGATTGCCACCTTCCCGACGAAACCTTCTCAATCGCGCTAGCCTGTGCAAATCTAGATGCAGCCGCAGGTCCAGACAATGTCACAGAAGGACGGGCCAGCGGTGGCTCGGAGACCACGGCTCCTTTAACTAGCGCTTCCTTCCTAGCCGCCCACGCATTCCCAGCAGAAGAAGTTGATACCCCTGCAGATGGGGAGAGATGGTGTGCCACAACCGGACTGGAACCCGGTCGCTTGGAATCCGATATTGCGACAGTCTGAGATACAACGACTGGTTGAGTGCGAGTGGATTCCGCTGCAACAGCTGATGGGCGTCGAGGAGCGGAGGAGGAATCAAAGGGCTTGCGCTCGTCCTCGTCAAAGTGGCGGCCAATAAATGATGGAGAAGATAGAAAAGCCGGACCTCCCTCGTCAAGGACACGGGGAAGCCCGCCGGAAGAGCCAGGGCGTGGGCGCTGGTGGTCGGCGCGTGCCCCAGTAGCAGCGCCGGCGGTGTTAGGGACGGCAATCCTGGCGCTGGGACGATCTTGAGGCCTTGATGAGCTGCACCAGATCAAGACGGGACGGAAAACATTAGGGTTTCGTAAACGGAGGACAAGCGTTGATAAGACTTACATGCCCGGAGCGGAAGGAAGTAAGAGCTCGGAGGGAATTGAACCGCCATGGAAATCCTTAAGCGTCATAGTCATGGATCCGGCGGAAAATTTCTTCTTGGACATCTTGCTGTTCGCGATGTCCGCGAAGCGGCGAAGGAGAAGAGTCGGTTGAACGATGATCGGCGGAGGTGGGAGGTTCTTCTTTTCGGCCCGGGAATCGATTAGCTAAATACGAAGAACACCCCGGAACCCGGATATCAGAAGTATTATGGCATTGAGCGCCACCACTGTGATTATAACAAAAAAAAATCAAAAAATAAAAAAATAAAAAACCGATAATTAGATACTGATCATTCATGTTGATATTTAAATTAATCATATCGTAATGTTTTGTACCACCGAATCGGTATATCTGCACGTCATAGTTGAATTATTCAGAATTTTAGATTGAAATTATAGATTAAAATTTTATTATAAATTTTATATTTGGAAAATAGATGAAAAAAAGTGATTGATTTGTAAATGATAAATTTCGGTTGTTCGGCATGAAAATGAGCCTATGAAAAAAATCTAAAAACGATCAAATTCATTGAATTTTATCAATCATAAGCTAAGTTTAAAATGAAATCAAACTTATTAAAATAAATTAATTAATTAAAATGAATCTAATCAAATTGAATCAAACTTATTAAAATAAATTAATTAATTAAAATAAATCTAATCAAATTGTTTTAAATTGTTTTTTTTTTTTTACTTCTGAATTTGTTTGTATTTTATTTGGAGTTAAATTGAAAAAAAAAAATTGGGGATGCTAAGGATTAGAGAGACAAAACTTTTGTTGATTAAAAAAAAAATTACTTTTGTTTGTTTGCCATTCAATCGAACCAAATCAAATCCAATAATATATCAAAACGAACATTTGAACTTACCTAAATCTAATATTTTGAAAAGTTTTAGATTTGTCTCGTCAAGAAAGCAAAACTATCGGGGCGGAAGCGATTCTTGGGGCGATTCTTAGGGTGATGCGTGGAGAACCTAAGTAACAGATGATTTCGACCTAGATTCGTGTTCTTACCTGCATTTTTTTCGGATTTTATCTATACTTTTGCACTGATGGCTTCTCCTAATTGAGTGACTATGCCTTCGTATGGGGATATTGTTTTAGGTAACGCTAAAGAGTCATCGAATGTGTTATTTCCTACTTCATTCAAGGATCTTCTTGAAGAAAGTGATTCAAATGGACTTCTCAAAAAAACGTCGCGAAAAAAATGATAAACCCGCTATTATACTTCAAGCGCAAGACACTTCTCGTCTTATTGAACCGATGAAATTTACTCTGGTTATGCGCACGGGCGCGCGCGCGCAGATGCGCGCAGATTTTTCTTTTGCTCATCCTGGTCTAGAGGTTATTCGCAAGTTTTTTTTCTGAGTTAAAACTTGTTGGTAAATGGAGCGTAGGACTAATTGATGGGCGTAATTTGATGATCAAATTACAAAAAGAAGAAGATTATACTTCCTTGTTTTCGAGAGAATTACTTTCGATCGATAGATGTTATATGAATTTTTTTAAATGGACACCGGCTTTCAATCTATCAAACGATCCTCCTATTATTTCGGTTTAGATTAGGTTTTCAGGGCTTAAACTGCATTTTTTCAATACTCACATTTGTATTCGTTAGGCCTTTCAGGGCTTAAACTGCATTTTTTCAATACTCACACTTGTATTCGTTAGGCCCTATCTTTTGTCTTCCTTTAAAGATGGACCGTGCTACTCTTCACTGTACCGGCCATCAATGGCATGGATTCTAATGGAAATAGATACACGACTCATTTCCCAGACTCTGTTTGGATGGGAGAAGCAATTTATAGATATTGGCAATCTGCTGAGTTAGAATTTGTGCCACATTATTGTACTAAATGCAAAATATTTGGTCATATTCTTGCTTCTTGTTTTATTGCGCATCCTGAATTAAAGTTGAACAAGAAACACGGGGATGATGAGATCAAGAAAAGGTCCCCTAGTGATATGTCCAAGCTTCATATCAAAGATAATTCTGATGAACAACATCTGGCTCGGGATTTCGATCTTATTAATCCTCCTTGCAATAATTTTAATCCTCTTTTTGTTGAGGAAACGTATAACACCCTGCTGGTACACAAGTTCTTGATATTGGTAAGGAAGGGTAATCTTCTGTGGTTGCTAATGAGGATTTACTTCTTGGGAACCATTTAAGAGAGGTTACTAAATATTCAATTATTGATGAATCCTTAATGTTGACTAGGTTGGAACTTGAGGAAGATTGGTTAATTCATAGATCTTCCATGAAAAGGAAACTAAAAGGATACAAAGAGCTTATACAATTGGGAAATGAAGTTGATGATGGGTTTCGTCCTCTAGGCTTACTAGAGGGAAAGCTATATTGGATGATGTTTAATGCTCTTATATGGAATATTAGAGGCATAGCTAAATCTTGTGCCTCTTTAAGATTAAAGTGTTTAATTCATACTTATAAGTTACAAATTTTTGTTATCTTAGAGTCATTGGTTGATGCTAAGAACAATGCAAAATTTATGAGGAAATTTGGGTCCTTCAACTCGTTGGCCAATCTTAATAATAAGATTTGGCTTTTTTGGAAGGATTTTCTGAAAATTGATATTCTTATAAATCATAACCAATGATTCATGTTGGTTTTCATATTAACAATGATTCTTTTCTTCTCACTGTTGTTTATGTTAGTTGTTCTAAACAAGCTAGGAGAGAGCTTTGAAATTTGTTTCTTACGTGTAAACCGAACAATGAACATTGGATTATGGGAGGGGACTTTAATATGATTTTTGCCATTGGGGAAAAGAAAGGTGGTGTGGCACCTAATCTTAACCTGATTTCTCTATTTGATAATGCTATATTGGATGTTGGTTTATTTGATAAAGGTTTTAAAGGAAATCCTTTTACCCGGCATAGTGGCAATACTTTTGAGAGACTTGATTGATTTTTGGCTAATGCTACTTGGGCTAATATTGTGGTTCATTATGAAGTTGTGCATTTAGTTATTGCTACTTCTGATCATGCCCCTATTCTTCTCAAAACCAAAGCTATTCTAAACAGTAATCCTTATCAATTATGTTTTCTTAATATGTGGATGATGAATTATAATTACATGTCATTTCTTAAATATAACTGGATTAGTTCTTTGGAAGGCAATTCGGGGTACAGGCTTTAGAGGCTTCAAAAGAATTTGGCCAAACATCTCAAAATGTGGAACTGGGAAGTGTTTGGAAAGATTAACAAAGTTATTGAGGATCTGGAGAGCAATGTTAGAGCTCTTGAAGTGGATTATACTAACCAATTGATTGATTGGGATGTTTTGTTTGAAGGGCAACAGAAACTTAACAAAGTTGTTATAATGGAGGAGAGCTTTCTTCCTCAAAAAGCTGCTCATATTAATTTTGTTGAAGGTGACTTTTAACTAATCATTATGACATTATTGAGGATGGTATTAAATACTTCTTTAATGTCTTTAGTAGTGATGGAAGTTCTTTATCCAAGATTAATTTGGATATGTATAACTCCTCAACCTTATTTAATGATATGAATCTGACTGATTTTCCAAGTGTTGTAGAGATTAAGGAAACACTTGATAGTATGGTTGATATGAAAGTTGCAGGACTAGATGATTTTACAGTTGAGTTCTATAAGAAAGGCTGGGAGATTATTAAAGGTGATCTTATTATGGCCATTCAGGACTTCTTCAAAGGTGTGGATCTACCTAAATACTTCAAATCGTCTAATATTGTGTTAATTCCTAAGTAAGTGAAGCTTCTTCTTGGGATGCTTTTTTGCCAATCAGTCTGACTACATTGGTTTCTAAAATTATCTCTGAAATAATGGTGAAAAGGCTTCATCATTTCTTAAAGGATATTATCTTCTCCAATCAATCTACTTTTATTAAAGATAGGAATATTTATGACAATGTGCTCACTGTGCAAAAACTTCTTATTGATTTTGATAAGAATTGTAGAGGAGGTAATTTGATCTATAAATTTGATATTAAGAAAGTCGTTGATTCTATTAGGTGGGAACTCATTCTGGATGTGTTGAAGGCTATTGGCTTCTCAAATGAGTTTTGTTCTATGGTTCAACATATTTTGAGCCACAATCATTATTCTCTTTTAATTAATGGGCATAAATGTGGTTTCTTTCAAGCCACTAAAGTAATTAAATAGAGAGATCCTCTTTCTCCTTATCTTTTCATTATTGCTTTTGACTACTTGTCAAAATGCCTTAATAATTTATATTCCTCTTTACCTAGTTTGAACTATGCTCATAAGGGTAATCTCAGCATTTCTCATCTCTATTATGCGGATGACTTGATTATTTTTTCAAATGCTAATAAACATTCTGTTAAGAAGGTTTAGGAGGTTCTTGATCATTTTCAGGCTATTTTTGGACTGAACTTCAGTACGTCCAAATGTGTTTTTACTGTTCCAAGAGTGATTATTTTTTCAAATGCTAATAAACATTCTGTTAAGAAGGTTTAGGAGGTTCTTAATCATTTTCAGGCTATTTTTGGACTGAACTTCAATACGTCCAAATGTGTTTTTACTGTTCCAAGATAGTTACAGCTGAGAAGAAAAATCAGATATCTGATTTTACTAATTGCAACAAAGCTAATCTTCCTCTTGCTTATCTTGGTTTTAAATTAAGCAAAAGGAATGAAAAGGAATGCTAATTGTTTGTGTTTATTTGATAAGTTCAAGAGTAGAATTACGTCTTGGGAAAATAAATTTCTCTCCTTTGGGGGGAGAATTACTATTCTGAGAAGTATACTTTGCTCCTTGTCGATTTATTCCTTACAGGTGATGAATATGTCTATTGGTATCATGAAAAAGCTGGAAGGTCTTTTTAATAAATTTTTATGGGAAAGCATCGATAAGGCTCATATTCACTGGATGAGCTGGAAGAAGCTTTGTAAACCTATTGATAAAGGGAGGCTGAGTTTCAGGAGGCTTGCTAATTCCATTAAGGTCAATTTTATGAAATTATGGTTTCGTTTTCAAAAAAATAGCTCATTGTGGGCAAATTTAATTCATGATAAATATTGTCTTACTAGCCATCATTTAGCTATCACTCCTATAGCGGATTCTTTTATTTGGAAAGAAATGATGAAGGTGGCTTAGAATACTAAGTGTTTTATATGTTGGGATGTTGGTTATGGTCAGTGTTCCTTTTGGTTTGATGATTAGTTAGGGAATGGTACATTGGCGGATCATAATGGTGGT